GTTATGCCAGTCCGGGCTGTTTGAATCGGAGTTCGCTGCTTTGGGAGTAGGAGCGGTTCCATTTTGAGGCACAGGCGTGCGTTGGCCGAGCTGGGGTTCCGACGGGGATCCCGAGTTGGTATCTGTTTCGCTTGTTCTGGAAGCACTTCCGGTTTCCATTAACGAGAATCTTAGTTGCAAGCGGACGAGTTTCCTCCACTGTTTGATCGTAAGAGTCAGCCTAGATATCTCAGTGTAGGATTCGCGTTTGGGGAATTAACTTACTTGTCTGGTATAAGTCAACCACTGCATCTAAGCAGAGTTGTCTAGCTGGGGGCCGGACGATGATAAGATAGCTATCCTATGTTAGCAATGCGCTAACTAAGTGATCAAATGGTGCTGACGGTTACTTACTGCAAAGCCTGGATACACAGGTTGACTCTCTCCGGGTCGTTTGCCAAGGTCTTCACCTTTTGGATTATGGGAAAGTCCAGCTCAGGCAGTTCACTCAAGAATCGTATGAGAACTTTGTCCTTGGCATCGAGGTATGGCAGCATACCCTCCAGCAGTTTTAAAGACCAGTGGCTATAATGGATTGGTACATAGGGGTTCTTTGGATCCCCTTCAATCTGCGAGCTGGCATTCTTCAGCTGTATCTGGTCGTTATACCATTCTTCATTCATCCAGGAGATGGCAAAGTTCATTCGGGCCCTAAAGTCTTCCAGGACGTAGCGGTACAGCATACCGCGAATGGTATTGGCAATGTTCTGCTTCCCGGGCACTTTCTGATTATCGACGCTTTCCTCGCTCTCAAGGCCAGCTGATGAGCGGGTAGCAAGTCTCGTAAGTAGAGTCAGCCATGACTCTCGGTCCGAAGAACTGGCGGCTAGTCTCCCAAATCCAAGGGACTGAGAAGGGTTGTTGGTTACAGCTTTTGAAGACTGTGGGAGGGTGGATATCATTGAAAATATCCTGCTGACCGTTTCCTTGCCTAAATGCTCCACATCCTCGGGGGATAGAGGAGGTGGTCTCGGCAATACGAATGGCCCTAGTGAGACTATATCTGGTAATGCCTCAGTTGCAGGTGCTTCGGGCTTGGCAATATCAGTAGGCGGGCCAGGAATATCCATGGGCTGATATTCTGGCTCATAATCGTCATCATCTTCATCAGCAGCAGCAGGCTGTGCGCTGGCAGCCTGATTTTGTCTTTCAAATACTTGCTTCTTGCAGATAGTCTCATACCGAGAGCGGACAGCCTATTTCTCATTTAGTATAGATAACCAGGGTCAAAAGATTGTTAGATGGGAAAGGGGGGGGAAGCATACGCCAATAGCCAAATCTAAGGATTCACCCCCTACCCGAGTTAGTACTGGGATGATGATCTTCAAAACCAAGTCTACCGGAAGCTGCTTTACGTCGAACGAAGCTAAACCGACGTCCTCTGTAAGGGTAAACAGCTGTCCGAAACTTGTAGGGCCTGGAGGAAGTGGAGGAAATTTAGGCTGAGGTGGCGTTTCGAGCCCTAGCCTTGCTCTCTTTGCGCTGTCTACTACATCGGTTGGTTCTGCAGGTAGCGCACGCTTCCGTGACGATTCATCGAATATCTCATTGTGTGACTGTGCTAGTCGCTCAATGTATTGTTGAATACGTCCGGCTAGAGGGTGAGTAGGGGCCCTAGATCACAGCTCAAAGTTAGCTGAACTATGTCGGAAGGCTACTAGGGTATGATCTACGAACTTTTTAATTATACTTAACAATAAAGCTCTCGTCGTCCTTTCCATAGACTTAATATTTACTTTCGTCGTTGGTGTCAGTGGCGCATTTGCCTGCTTGAGCGGGTTGAAGTTGAGGACAGCATTTATGATCTTGTTTGAGATGGATGGCCGTGTTCGAATTAGGACTGGGATCGAATTGAGGGTTGCGTTGACCAAGATCGGATCGCTGTTTCTTTTGGTTAAATCCGGTCCCCATAGCTCAGCATAGAGATGCAACTGACCTTGAATTCTCGTGGAAGACGTTGAGCAATCTATCCAGAAGCCCTGATGTCTCTGCTTCAATGTTAGGTATAGCTAGGAGTGGATGATTCCTAGGTACGATTGCTAAGGAGGTCTCGTTCTTCTCCGGTCGCTAGATGTGGTATTAGCTCTCCGAACATGGGTCTCCTACATTCTCTCTTGTTTTTACGGCCTTCACATACTCTTGGATCGGCAATTGGCCCTTGTGTTTGTACCTGGACAACCTTCTGCGCAAACTTGATACAGCATATCTTAACACCGTGCGAAGACGCGTCCCACTTCTTCAGAATAGTATGTTTTATGGTTGTCATCGTTTGCCATAGGGAGGTCTGGCTGGCATCGCTCACACTAGCAATAAAGAAAATAAATAGAATTAGTACTCCGTTCTCTTTCATTCAGGTGGTGCAATAACTCATGCCGAGCTGGTGGGATATGCAAAATAGCCATGACATACACTTGTCTAAATATAAGAACATAGATGCTTGCAGCCGTCATGATAGCACCACGGACAACCGTCTCATCATCCTCAGGCGTATTCAACAAATCGTTGATCGCTCCGAGGATTTCAGTAGCTAATTTCTGCTTTGGTTGCTGAGGGAAAGCCGGGCTTGAAAACGTCTCTGTGAGGAACTCGGCGCCCCATCTTCGTAGTTCCAACCGCGAATTGACGCCAATTATAGGTAATATGCCATGAACGATCTGAGGATAGAGAGCTGCGTCGCCGAGAACGAGATTCCGGGCTGCGTCTAGCTGCGACATCTGCTCTACCAGACTATTCCCTGGCAAAGCCATGATAGACAATAGCTACCCAGATCACTGCCAGCAAAGAAAGGCGAAAGACCAGCAACAGCTGCTAGCTGTAGTCTATAGAAGCACCTCAAGGATAAGTTTGATAGTTGATTACAAGTGTCATCCAGCGGAATTGGGTGGCAGGGTGGTGGACTAATGGGCTGTTTAGATGGGCACGAGAGGTACAAAACAGGCTGAGGAGTCGAAACGACGGGAGCAGAGTAGCTAAAAGGGAGCTGGGTAAGTTGACAGCGGGAGTGACAGTGGCGCAGAGCTTCCTAGGAACGCGAAGACCAGGCCTGCAAGGCTCGTCCGTCGAAAAAGGCCCTGTTTATCTCGCGATGCGTGGTCTTGTCTAACTATCCAGGCGTCTCGTCCTGGCGTCGTTCCTTTTTCCCTTCTTGCGCTGTCGAACGTAAGACTGACCTACACTCTGATTGGTCAATATGAGATCTCCCTTTCACAAACGTGTCACATGACAAAGCTGAGTCAAAGCTGAGTCATTCTGGTTACCAAAGTGCTTACTAAGCAGCACATGACGCAACATCAAAATTTCCGATGAAGAAAAGAAGAAAAAGCACGAAAGGAAGAAACGTTTGAGTAGGCCGCATGCTGTAGATATTTGCCCGCGCATCTACTGTGCAGTCAATATACGGTTAGAAAACACAAGATGTCGCTGTAAGTGATCTATCCCGAAGGAAAATTGAGTCATTCTCCGCTGGGAAACGCCCTTACTAACTCGTAATGGTAGCTTCAAATCCTCATATTATGACAAAGATTACCGGGCGGGTGCTGCCCTGATGCGCGCACGGCGGCCATATATAGTCAGAAACGTTGCTACTGGAGTGGCTCTCTTCAGCTTCTGCATTGGTGTTTGTACGTGGTGCCCACTTCTCCCAATGGCGGCTCTCCGGGACCATGGCGCGCTAACCGGGAACATTTTTATACAGACGCCTTCACTATCAATGCAGTCGGACAGGACGATTTCTCTGATGTAAAGGTGCCAGAGGCTGTACCGAGCGCGAAACAGGAGGCCAAATAGAGCCCGTACGGACCGAGTGACATACTTACCTACCTATCCCCTTCCCACTCCGACCCGAGATGCACATTGGCCTAGGCATAAAGGGAGGAGAACGACCTGTGATGGTTCTAAAACTGGGCCCTTAATTGTAGTGATTTGGCTTTGAGGCGCGAAGGCGTTGGTGGTCATATTTTCCCTGGGCGTGCTGGGTGCATCAGCACTATCGAGAGGGTCCCTGAGTACCAAAGCCGTGCCTTGAGAACAATAGAGTCACCTATCTTCGTGTGTCAATTTGCTTTGATGCAGGACGAGATGAGCGGCTTCGGATTCATTTAAGCGTTTCTATCTGTACTATAGCTCCGACTACGCTTCTCCACTGTGAATTATTTACTAATTTCATTACTCATGTCAAATTGATTTAGGAGCATTATCCTTCCTATTTTAGTTCCATACTAATAAATTCAATGAATCTTTAAGCATATCACATTAAGTGCTATAGCATACTTTAATTCAGGTATATCAGGTCAATAAAGTACATAGCCAGAAGATTCAAGCAACCAGCTGGGCAAGGACAATGTCTCCGCGCGTGAAATGCTCAACTGGAAAAGGAGCCAAGGAATAAACAGCCCAGGTAGCGCCCGTTGTTTGTTAATTTTCTCGTTTCTCCATTCGTATGCATGTCCGTATGTTGCTTTGCTTCCGAGTCTAAGCCAAAGGGCAGGGGACGGGGGGAGGCGTATTCACCAGGTAGGTATAAGCAGGGTATTCATGACTGGCCAGAGAATAGTAAATGTGAGAGAGAGAAGGTAACAAGGAGGAAAAGTGAAGTGAGTCAATCAAATCCTCATGGCAGCCATAGACTATGTGTATATATGTATAGGGGTGGCGAATATTGATAACATATCGAATGAGAGGAGAATAACAAGAAGCAAAGTAGAAGTGAAGAAGATAAAGATAATCAATTACACCAGAGTCCATATCCAGATCCTGATCCAGATGCATGTTCACCAAGTTTATGTTTCGTATACTCCGTAGCCATGTAGCAAATAAGTAGAGGGGATAGGTAGAGCAAAATCAAAGAAAGCAAAATAAGAATAAATCATCAAGAGCCAAGGTCAAATAAGGCGAAGAAGATGAAGGGAAAGTCGAAAACGAAGGAAAGATGCAAAGAAGATAGAGGGCACCGCCGTTGGTGGATTGGTATATTGGGTAGTGTATGAGATAGTATGATATAACGCCTCCCGCTCCGTTCCAAAAAAGAAAAGAAAATGGTATAACTATGGCAATGGATGACAATGATAATGATAGTAAAGGCAACGCGAACCCCGCTGGCTATCGCTATCGCCGCATGCGTATGCCCATCTTCTCGAGATCTTCATCTGTTTCCGGACCCCTAGTTGGTTTCAGGGACGGGGCGGCTGGGAAACCGACGTATTTCGCAAACCCGGCAAGCACGGAGACTTCCCGGTTGTACGCTGCCTGGTGTGCGATTTGTTTGCTTAGGCGGGTCGGGAAGGGTATGGTATATTCTGTCACTGCGTCGGATGTGGCGTCTGCGAGTATGCCGCTTGCAGGGCCGGCAAGGCCAGGATAAGTGCCTGAGCCGGCACCCGCGCCGGGACAACTTATACCGATGCCACCGAATCTGTCGTGTTGGACTTTGTATTGGTGTTCCGAGACGGCGTCTAGAGCCGCTTCGCGGATCTCGCGTACGGTTTGATAGTAAGACGAGTTGCACTGGGCTCGCTCAGCGCGGGACTTGACGCAGAGAGCTTGGAACTTATAGGCGTGGAGTATCTTTTCGTGGTTGATTTTGGCATTGATGTGAGATTGGATGATAGCAGCTTGGCGAAGGAATTCGGGGTGTGTCGGAGAGGGAGATGAGAGCTGGGAGAGTTCATCGTTGATATTCGATAGTCGTTCATCGTATATTCTGAGGAGAAGGTCAGAAAAGAGGTCATAAGTGGTACAGTTGATGGGAGGCGGTATTTACCTGTCTCGTAATGTTGCAAAATGTCGTTCAAGATCGGATAAAAGGTCAAGAGCCGTGGTTTTCTTCGTTACTGTGGACCAGTTAGCTGCGCTGCGCAAAGCCTCTATGCATGCGGCTGCTCGAAATGCGGTTGGATGACTTACATTCTTCTAACCTCACTGCTGCCTCTGGATCATCTCCACCATCCACCAGTGTCTCATCTACCGCATGATCCTCTGCGGCATCTATACCGTTACTCTCCTCGACGGACCCAGCCCGTGGTGTAGCATCTCCATATGCTTCATTATTGCCCTTCTTACCCCGTCTTTTATCTCTTCTCCCTTTTTTGCCTCTTTTGGTAGAAGGCGAGAGGTACGTTTCGTCTGATACAGGACTGGGACTGGTAGGCTTTGAGGCCTCAGCGTTGTTTGGTTTTGATTTCTCCATATCGTCGTCGCCTTCGGCTTCAGCCTCGATTTCAGCTTCAGGCTCGGGTTCGAGCTCAGGCTCAGCATCTACTTCGCCTTCACCTTCTGCTTCAGCCTCAGCTTCTTCCTCGTCTTCCTCCTCTGGCGACTGGACCATAGGAGCATATGCGGACTCGTCATCTGCAGAGGGTTCGAGAGCGATCGACCCGCGGCGCTTACGGGCAGGCTCTTCTCCATCTTCGCCATCCCGCGCCAGAGCCGCCAGGTCATGCGTCGAGTTCATTCTCTTGCGCTTCTTGATAAGGCTCAGTGTTTCCTGCGAATCCGATAGCTTACTTGACTTGTAATCACCCTCTTTCTCACTGAAGGCGTGGCCATTGCCTGTGCCATTTGTCTTTACCGACCGTGGCGGCTTGCTAGGAGACACTTCAGTGTCTTCAGCATCATCATCATCATCATCATCCTCGTCCTCATTGTCATCGTTGTCGTCGTTGAGCTGATCATAGGTAGTGGACTGTGCTAGCTTGCTTGGACTGGCAAAGACGCCACCGACACCACTGAGGACGATGCTCGCCTTGTCACGGTCGCGATTATGGTGTGGCGAGTCCTCTATACGCTCGGTTTCTGCCTCGGAGTCGATTTCAGAAGCAAACTTGGACGGACGAGGAGAGAGATCATCTAGCTGGCCGTGGGAGAGGGCTTCGTCGATGTCCGAGAGACTACTAGAGCGAGAGTCTGAGTCTATGGCGTCAGCGAGGGAGGCAGGCATTGACCCGGCTTGGAATCGCAGGTCAATGGAGGTATTATTCGCTAGCATGGTAGGCAGGTAGGCTATTGTCTAGACAATAGCAGGCGTGTTTGGGTGGGTATGTAGGATCGATTCTGTTCGTGGAAGAAGGGTGAAAAGCCCTTGCTCCCTTGCGAGTCGGGTGCTATCCACACAAGAAGTCAGCCGACGATCAGTATCAGGAGAACGAAACCGAGCTCAAAACCCGAAAGCTACGAGATCATAGCATCGTATCGAAGGAGCCTTCAATAGAGATAGCAACCTGGGGAGAGCGTTGGTAGAGATTCGGCTATTTGGTCACGGGCAAATTCTGCCCATGCCAGCTGCCTCCAGGTCGATCGCAATCCCGACAATCAGGCCAACGAGCATCGACAGCGAGGTATGGCCCTTGCAAACAGCTCATCCACCTATCTCTCCCTCTGTTGTACATTCCTGTATAATAATCAAACGTACCTTTTGGGCTCGGGAGGCAGCACAGGCAAGGGATGAATATTTTTCTTCGCTTCCCTGTCTGCGGGTTCGCACGAGGGCGTCAGAGGCGGATCGCAAGCCGGCGAGGTGTATCCCCAGCGTGCGAGCTATCTCGTAAGCCCTGCTATCTGACTAGCTGCAGGTCTGATCGAGCATAGCAAGGTCGGAATCTCATGCGTTCGAGAGGGCGGCAGCCAGGCGCTGTGAGGGGGGTCTTTGTGAGCTGGCTGGCTCGGGAGGATGGAGTGTGAAGCTGCAGGTTGACAGAAGCTTTGCAAGACGGCGAGGGAGGCTGTCCGTTGCGTAGACGGTTATATAGGCAGTGCGAGCGGCCGGCGAGATAGCGAAGAGCAGTGAAGACGAAGCAGCAGAAGCAGCAGGTGAAGCAGAGCAAAGCCGAAGATGAAGAAGACGAAGAAAGTCGATGCTCTCGTTTTGAGGGAGACCTGGTGGTTGTACCAGCGTGACGCGGTGACGTGACGTGACGAGAGCATTACCAGTCGATCACTGCATTTGTGTGGCCGCATGTGCGTAAACTGGTATTTGAGCTGAAAGATACAGCTGTATCGGTGTAAGTGCGGTACAAAGTTACCATACAAGGCGGTGGGCGTTCTGCCGTGTCGATCTGCCACAAGGAGCCAATCATTGCACAAGGGAAGCTTCACCGCCCTGCTGAGTCATGAAACTTATGTAATTTCTTACTTAAGAAATGCTTACTTAAGCGATCCAAAATCGTCACTCGAGGCTGAGATGACGGCGCCTGCCAATTCCAGGAGACACCTGATCAGAGCACGAGTAGTAATTATATTGCACTGGACAGTGGCTACAAGGTAACGGCTATGTCGTCGAATAGAGAGTTCAATGCCCACGGGGAAAAATGCATATAAAGCCTTATAACCATACGTTTGACTCTTAGCCAGCCTAAAAAAAGAATGCTACATACTGCTCATGGATCATCCGAGCATACTAGATTACTTACCTGCCGTTTATACAGAAATTCTGAAGCCCTAGCCGAGTTAGATACCATGGGGCCATCATATTGAGGCCTTAATTATAGGAACTTGTCAATCTCATTGGCCAAAAAGGAATTTTGGGGATTGACCTGCTGGGCAAATGTGTACCCCCAGTATAATGTATACCAGCCAGCCGTTTCCCAATCAACTATGCTAGCAACGTCATCTCCACGAACTCGAATAGTTAAACTGCCGAAATCTCCATGAATGAAGACTAAAGGGGAGGTTTTGCTTTGTGGGTCAAGCCTCAGATTGACTCCATGTCCATTCGTAAATGCCGATAGAAGTCTTGGGTCCTATTAAATGGACCAAAATGCAAGGAAATCCCTAACACGCAACAGTCGAAGAGTGATCCACCATTAACAGAACCAACCATAGTGTCATCCGGCGGCTTCATTTACCACATTTCAGCAACCATTTTTCCAGCTGCGAAAGAAGGATTGCCTTTGACTCCTTATTTCCGCGAACCTAACCATTACCAATCATGGATTCCTTGGTCCTCCCCTTCACGATATACGCCATTCCGGAATGAGTAAAACAGCGTCGGGTATCGATACCAAATCCTGTCATTGGTAGGCTTGAAAGCACTTTTGAGGCATGGGCATACTTCCGACTAGGTGACATTATGGAAGGTCTATGTCTGAAGGAGATAGTTATTAAGTAAAGGCATTAGTATTGCGAATGGAAAAGAACAATCGGATGGAAAGATATATGTGAGTATGGATAGGTCATGTTATGTTGACATTGATGGGAACAATAATGGTCACACGGCCCGGCCAAAAGTGTGTCACGTGCACTGCCAAGACGGGCGCGGAATTTTATCTGGACGAAAGATAAAAAAAATAAAAGTTGATAGGCGAAATCAAATAGAGAGAGTCAAGTCTTAACGCCAATTGAGCTTGAGTAAAGCTCGACACCTTCATCATGGGTAAGAAGGCGAAGGCTCAGTCGGCGGAGGGTGCGCCGGCAATAGCTGCAGCCAGCACGGCTACGGGGGGATTTCCGCTGGCAACTACAAAGGTTGATCCCGGTTTGGCGGCGCTGTTTGCGCAGAGTGTAAGTGGATTTACATTTTTTATATTCTTGTTGTTAGAGGGTTTATACTGACTGTGGGCTAGGCTGGACCAGTAAAGGAGCCAGAATTGAAGCCTGTCTCTAGAAGGCTGGAGAAAGAAGCAGACGACGATGAGGAAGAGGATATAGGGGAGGGAGAGGAGGATGAAGAAGTGGACGATGAAGATGAAGACGAAGAGGAGGAGGATGACGACGACGTTGAAATGGAAGATGTAGAGGAGAAGTCTTCACGGAAGCGCAAGAGAGGAGCAGAGAACGATGATCTGGAAGCCGCCTATTTAGACCGGTTGTCTAGAGAAGACGACCGAGAACGGAAGAAAGAAGCCGAAAAGACCAAGAGAGTCAAGACGGCAGGTGAAGACGAGGGAGACGAAGATGATGATGAGGAGGATGATGATGAAGAAAGAGAAGAAGACAAGATACCCATGCACGAGTCTGTTTCGAAAAGCAGTAAATCTGACCCAATGGACAAGCCCTCACGCACACTCTTCCTGTCCAACGTCTCTACCGAAGCCATAAAGTCGAAATCCGCCAAAAAGACCCTTCTCAACCACCTCTCCTCCCTTCTCCCCAAGCCATCATCTACAGACACACCATCACCAATACACAAGATAGAATCACTTCGGTTCCGCTCGACAGCCTTCAGCTCAACCGCACTACCACGCCGAGCAGCCTATGCTAAAAAGGAACTTATGGACTCTACTACGAAAGGCACCAATGTATACGTGGTGTACTCTACGGTACTAGCAGCTAAAAAGGCACTTAAGCTTAATGGTACGATGGTGCTAGATCGACATATACGCGTTGATAGCGTGTCGAAGCCTTCTCCCACCGACCATACCCGCTGTGTGTTCGTGGGGAACCTAGGCTTCGTTGATGAAGAAACGCAACCCGCACCAGATGAGGGAGATGGGGAGGTCAAGAAAAAGGCTAAAAAGGGGTCAGAGGCAGGAGACGTCGAGGAAGGACTATGGCGTACTTTCAACGAGCGGTGTGGAGGCGAGGGTGTGGTTGAGAGTGTTCGTGTTGTGCGTGACAGGCTTACTCGAGTCGGAAAGGGGTTCGCATATGTCCAGTTTAAAGATGAGAATTGCGTTGAGGCTGCGCTGTTGTTGGACGGGAAGAAGTTCCCTCCTATGCTGCCTAGGAAGCTGAGGGTTACGAGAGCTAAGAAGGTGGCTGTGGGATCTGAGGGGGTTAGGGAGGGAGTCGCTAAACAGCGAGAGAAGGGAGGGAAGGGCAGGAAGGATGAGAAGTTGTTTGGGCGGGCTGTTGCTGCTGGGTTGAAGAGCGAGGAGAGAGAGAAGCAGAGGCAGAAGCAGAAGCAGAAGAGCGGACGTGGATGGGGCAAGGATGCTAATGCTGTTCCGTTGGGTAGTAAAGGAGGGAATGGGAGTGGTACGACGTTGGTGTTTGAGGGATACCGAGCGAAGGACGGGAACAAGCCGGCGTTTAAGATGAAGAAGAGCAAAGGCGGCAAGCCGAAGACCCGAAGCTCCCGACGGGCCAGCGCGTACAAGTCGAGAAACAAGTAGATCAGTTGATAGCAGACGTCATCGCATAGGAAAAGGAATAAAAGAATAAGATTACGAACGGGAAAAGAAGCAAAGAGGAGTAAAGTATTAAAAGAATTAATTAATTTTATTTTTTGTTGTTTCGAGCGTGGGCAGGCAGGCAGGCGGCTGCTGCGATGAGACGTGACACTGTGTAAGGATACACACGCATGACAACACTACTTACATTAAAAAAACAATAACAGCAAGAGGTATAAGACATACAGGCTATGCATAATGCTGGCCGGGGGGTCGTTTTTTAACCGTCAACACCCTGCGAACAGGTTCATGAAAGAGTGAAAAGAAAAAAAGGGGAATCAAACAGTAGTGGAAGACGTAGCAGGGAATATCCAAGCTGACTCCAAAAGAAAAGGTAAAAAAATAAGAAGTGGTAGTACAAGGATGAAGGTCGCGTGAGAGAAGAAAAAATAAAGGGAGAATTACCGATTAAACAATAATGGCGTTTTTGGAAGGGTAATGGGTAATGCAAATATGTGCAGTGACTGATCATAGAAGAGCCATGAGAGTGAAGACGAGGGAGAGGAGACCACCTGGCAGAGCAAGGGAGACTGCGCCGTTGGGGTCAGGGGCTCCGCCGGTTGGCATGCCGGTCGACGAGGAGCTGGTGGAAGACTCGGTCTCGGAAGCAGAGGTAGAGTCAGTAGTGGTCGACGAGCTGGAAGAGCTGGTGACGGTGGTCATGGTGGTCGACTCGGAGGAAGAAGAGTCAGTGGTGGTGGTAGCTGAGCGGGTGGTGGAGCGGGAAGAAGACGAGGTCGAGTCGTCGGTGGTGGTGGCCTCAGAAGTGGTCATGGAGGCGCGGGTGGTGGTTGGGCCTGAGGTTGGGCTTCCGGTGGCGCCGTCGACGGTGAAGGTAGGCGTGAAGTTGTAGTTGTCTGGGTTCTCGTCGTCGAGGATCTGGATGGTGTAGATGCCGCCTTCGGTCATGTCGGCCTTGGGCACGAACGAGAAAGAGCCCGAGTTTGGCAGGTTTGCTATTCCGGATATCAGTATCACTGCCATCTAGTACAAGTATATGTGGTAGATAGGGAGATGACTTACAGCCGAGGACGACGCCAGACTTGGGAGTGGTCTCAGTGCCCATCTGGAGCTTGAGGGTGACTGTCCCGCTTGTGGTGGGCTTCCAGTTGAGGGTGGTGGGCTGCTGTGCGCTGAAGTGGTAGCCGCCTGGAGGCACCAAGAAGGGGTTCTCCATGGAGGCAGCAGCCGCAAGGGCCGCGAAGGCGAGGTACAGCACTGAGCGCATGTTGGTGGGATATTAAAGCACTTTCTGGTAGATAGAAGTGGAAGTAGAAGAAGTAGAAGCAATAGTGGTATTAGTTGTAGTAGAAGAGAAGAAGAAGTAGAGAAAGTGTCCCAACGCGGCTGTCAAGAAGAAGAGGAGGAGAGAAGAGAGAGAAGAGCAGAAAGAGAAGGCGAGTCCATATAAGTAACTAACTTGGGAGCAGGCGCAGTCGGCCTTCTTGGTGGAATCAAATCAGCCAATATAGGAAAAGGGAAGGAAAAGAGACATAGACTTTTAGACTTTTCTCCCGATTCTCCCTGGCCCTTGCCTACTTTTAGCGTGGAAGGGCTTGGCGTGGAGGACAAAGTTAGATAAGTGGAGGCGAGAGTTCGTCCGTTGGGAGCAGCTTTTCTGGGCTTCCTGCACGCTGATTGGCTGCCGCGGGGCAAAGGGAGGTTCGAGGGCGCCAAGACCACATGGCTAGGCAGGCACGCTAGTCGCTTTAGGAGCTTGCGTCCTCTTT